TGCATTCTGATCCATAATAACTTTTGTAAGAATAATTTTGATGCCTTTGACAGTTTAGTGTATTTTTATGTATTATTTTGTCTTTTTGAAACAAGGTTTTACTATTCAGTCAGGCTGAACTTGAACTCACTATATAGCCCAGGCTGGCCTTGAACTCACAGCAGTCTTTCTCTCTCAGCCTCCTGAGAGCTGGGATTATAGGCATGTACCACCATGTCTGGCTCCTCTGTCTTTAGAATGACAATAAACATGACAAAGATTCTAAGAAATATAACATAATTTATATCTTCAGCTTCTTTTTTTATGTATTTGGTTGTTGCAGGGTCTCACTGTGCAGCTTGGACTCATGGTGATCCTCCAGCTTTCAGCCTCCCCATTGCCAGGATTACAGGCATGTGCCACTACACCCGGACTCTGGCCAGCTCAGCCCGCCCTGGGGATGGGGCTAGCATGGCATGTGGTGCTAGGGATGGAACCTTGGTCCCTGCACTTGCCTAAGCTTGACTAAGCAGGCTTTTTAGTTCACTGAGTTATATAGTTGGCTTTCAGCTTCTTTTCTTTTCACTACACTGTGTACATTGTAATGACTTTGTAATTATTTTATCATATAGACTGTTATGAATGTTTTCTATTCCTTTTCTCAAATTAGGGTCTTTTAAATGTCAGATCTCCTGAGAATTCTCTCTGTTTTACTCTATTTATATATCAGATAAATTTATTTCCAACAGAACATTACATGACTTTTTAGTCTGCATATTACAGGTCCATGTAGCACCATGAAATACTTTTCCAATGACGAACATCACATACATTATGCACAACAATTCCTATGTTTTTCCAAAATAGTATGAGATCAAATGAACATTAGGTGAAAATTAATGGCCTGGTGGAACTTATAGTACAAAGGACCCAGCCACATTTTATGATTCTTGATAAAAAATGTTCTTTGTAACAGTAAAATTTAACAATATGAAATAAAGTAAAATATACTTAAATATTAATCAATGACATATATTTTCTAGTGCATCCCAGGTGACAAGGCATTATGCTCAAATAGGTTGTTTTCTGTGATGCAGATATGTCATTGTAGTAGGCAAATAATCCATTTCTGTTAGAAGTCCAGACAAACCCAAAAACAAATATAAGTATGCTGGTTTTAAAATGAATAGAGGGTGATAAGAGTTAGGTTTGTACATGTTTAGTACACTATGTGTCTAAAGTTTCAAAATCCGTTAACTTTATTAATCATTCTTAATTTATATCATTAGTCACATACTTTCCAATTTCCTGACCTTTGGTGAATGACTGAAAAAGTAGGCATTCAGTTAATCATAAAAATATTTAAATATGAATAAGCATGATGCAAGTATCAATTTTATATTGATAATATTGTACATTGAAAAGAGAAAAACTGCAGATCAAAGCAGATTTCAGTGAAATACATGATTGTCTTGCAAATAATTTAAAATAAAGGTCTACCTTATTTCTTTTATATTGGGCTTTTAAAATCTTCATCATTCACTTATCTTGATCATGGATAGGAAGAACCAACATTGTAAAACTGTTCATACTTCCAAAACTGCTATACAGATTTGATGAAATCTGATTAACATACCATTAGCATACCTCATAGATCTAGGAAAACATTCCTAACACTTATATGGAAACAGAAGAAACTTAGAATATCAAAGGCAATCCTGGAAAACAAAGGCAAGGCAGGAGACGTTACATTCCTGACTGAAAATTGTACTGGCCAAAAAATAAAAATAAAATAAACAGACCTGAGGATCAGTGGAACAGATTAGTAGATGCCAACAAAATGAAAGAGACACTCATCCACCTTGTCTTTGACAAAGAAACCAAACATGTTTACTAGAAGAAAGAAAGCCTCTTTAATAAATGATGCTAGAAAAATGTTTAGTCTTCCTCATGCCAAAGACTAAAACTACACCCGTATCTATCACTATGCATCAACTAAAGTTAAAATGGATCAAAACTCTAAATATTAAAACAGAAACACTAAACCTACTGGAAGAGAAAGTAAGTAGAAATCTTGAAAACATAGGGGTTGGTAGAGAGCTTATGAACAAAACTCAAACTGCATTGGAAATACTTCACAAAATAAACAACTGGGATCTCATCTTATTAAAAAGTTCTTGTACATCGAAAGAAATCACTAACAGAATGAAAAGAAAGCCCACATATTGGGAAAATATTTTAGCAACCATCCCTCAAAGGGACTGACAAAAGACTTCTGTCTAGACAATATAAGGAGTTGAAAAAAATCAGTGCCCACACCCAATTCAAAGACCCAGTTCAAAAGTGGACATCTGAGATGAATATACACTTCTCAAAACAAGAAATACAAATGTTAAATAAATATATGAAAAGAAGTTCAACATCATTGTTCATTCAAGAAATACAAATTAAAGCAACACTGGGATTTCATCTCACCCCAACAAGAATCACTATCATAAAGAAGTCAACCAACCACAAATGTTTACAGGGCTGTGGGGAAAAGGAATGTTGGTGGGAACACAGAGAAGGATGATCACTGTGGAAATCAGTATGAGGAGTCCTCAAAAACCTAGGTGTGGAGGTCTCATAAACCCAGCCATTCTATTTCTGTGTATTTGCCCAGAAGAATTAATAACATTATTGCACAATAATATATGTGCACCCATGTTTATAGTAGCACAAATTTAATAGCTAAATCTTGGAAACAACCCAAATGCCCATCAACCAAGGAATGAATAAAAATGCTGTGGTCTTGTTATACAATGGAATACTATTCAGCTATGAAGAATAAACATGAGACTTTTTTGTATTTTAGGAGAGGGTCTACAGGGACTATGGGTCTCACTGTATAGATCAGACTCATAGTGATCCTCCTGTTTACAGCCTTCCAAGTCCTAGGATTACAGGCATGCACCACCACGCCCAGTCAAACATGAGACTTTTATAGGTAAATTGACACAACTAGAGACTGTATTCATAAGTGAAATAAATCAGACCCACATATGTGAACATCATTTTGTCTCCCTTGTATAAGAAATCGAAAGAATAAATAAAATTGAAAATGTGAAAGGTAAAGAAACTATTCAAAAGGAAAAAACAATTGGCAGTAGGGAAAGGAGAAAAGAAGGAAGGGAAAAGAAAAACTATATATATATATATATGTATATATATGTACATATATACAATATGTACATATATATGCAAAATAGCTAAGATAATTATACTACTTATTTTTATTAGTTCATTGAAAGGAATGATTTGTGCTTATATTGATCAATTTTGCATGCCTGAATCTTTTAATCTGAGCAACTACTTTAAAGATAACACTATACAATATACTAATCATTATTAATTTCTTATCTTGTTTTGAAGTTATATATCATTTTCTAGCTTTTTTCTCTTAAAATTAAAAAAAATAGTATCACTCAAATGCAAGATGAAGATTTTTCGATTTAATCAAATCTCTTTTAAAATTCTGTTGAGTGATTTTCCAACCTCTGATTTAATAGTCACTTAATACACATTCTCCTCATGCCTACAGAGTATTAAGTTACACTTAAGTTTTCCACATAATTTCACGTATCATTTATATTTATGCAAGGGAAAATGAAATTTTAAGAAAAGTATAACAGATAATTTAAGGGGAGATTGTACATACACAAGTTATAGGACACCCAAATATAAATCCAAACTTTATTGCACATTTTTAAGGTTAATTCAAATATGATCTTTTTGTATATGCAATTAAGTTCTCTTACTTCAAAAATAGAGGTAAGGAAATCTTATTGTGCAAAGAAATTCATAGTCAAATTTTAAACTTAAAACATAAATATTAAATGAAAATATACTGATGTCTATGCAAAATTTGGTCAAAGAATAAATGAAAAGCAAAAAAAAAAAAGAAGACAGTGAACTTCTAAAAGACATTATCTGCCACACTGGCAGGCAAGCCTGCAAACATGCTTGGTGCCCCATCCACTCAGAATTGAGGCAGAGACCCCATACCAGGCTCATCCTGTTCCCTGAATGTCTCCCTTATCTAATACCTGCTTTACCAACTTTAAAATACTGTCTGTGCCTGCTGAAAGTACCCAGGCTCTGGCCTGGGTTCAAGTCTGAATCCTGAGACACGACTCTTTCTAAAGAGGAAAAGACACTAAAAGTAGCCTTACCTGTAGCTGTGCTAAGTTTCATTTTGCCCCGCTACACCTCTGGTTCGAGATGCGTAACACTCATGGTCTCAAGACTTCTGTATTCTTTCTGTAAATGTTTCTGCTTAACACCCCCCACCCTGCTCTTTCACTTTTTTGCTTCCTTGTCTTTTCAAGGCTAGCTCTCAGCCAGACTGCTGTTCTTGGCCTCAAATAAAGTTCACATTCCCAACTACTTTATATATCTTTAAGGAGGAAATCAAATCACTATATTTCATCAAGTTATCATCAGTCCCATTTCTAAAGAGAATGAAGAACAAGCAGTAAGTGAACATTTTTAAAAACCCCATAAAAATAGTAACAAAAAAGAAGAAAAGAATAAAAAAACTTCAGTGGCATAATATTGGGAAAATAACATGGAGAAATATTGGAAAGCACAGTATATATACAAAGACTTATCAGATTATTAAGTCAATTTTCAATGTTGAAATAAGTAAAATGTGCTACAATTCAGTCCTAGAAGACAAGGAAATGTTTAGTTCAGATTATGTGCACGTATTTTCAAAATCGCAAGAAGAAAAGAAAATTAGTACATGGAAATTATGCCATTATATAATACTGCACAATTTGAACATATAAAGAAAAACCTGGTCGTATGGATAAAACTAATACAATCTTGAGGTGAGAAACAGCTTGAAAGGAAGTAGGAGAGAAAATAAAATAGAAGTATTAAGTCAGAGATAGGAGAAATACTCAAACGACGGAGAAAGGGGCTTTACTTATTGAAGATCCCATTTTCCAAAAACAAACTGTTGAGTACAAAGAAAGAGCATATAACATTGCCAAGCACATTTATTTAGAAATGTTCAGATTAATAACTTGGTCAAAAATAAAAATACCAAACTAAGTAGCTATTAGAAAAGGATATGAATGTACCAAAATCTTAATAGCTAATTTTCTAATAGGGTTGAAGGGAGTTAAAATGTACAGGGCAGAAGTGGCACTGAATCGAGAGATTGCTTTCCCTTTATTCAATACTATAAATGTCTGAAAAAGAAAACAAAAGGCATAAGACAGAATTTAGAATATACAATGAGGACATTTGGAGAAGCATGACACCATATATCTAGGAATATACATTATTCTATAAAATAATGGTACTATACTAATTACCAACACATGTCAGTATGATAGTGCTTACTTTCTTTCTGAACATTATAAACCCTCTTAATAATTTTAGTAACTGATGTGAAGATTTGGATATAAAGAAAACTTGTAGTCAATACCATAGGAATTCATAGCATCTTTAGAGATTTTAACATCATTGTTTTTAAACAGCTGTTAGCCAGGCGTGTTGGTGTGCACCGTCGGCCCAGCACGTGGGGAAGGGGCTGAGCCAGGAGGATCACTTTGAGTTTGAGACCAACCTGGGCTACATAAAATAGATACACAGACGAAGAACCCAACAAACTGGTTTTTTACAACTCACACAAATAAACATTCTCATAAGGCCTTTGAGTTTTCCAGGTATATTCTTTGCTGAAACTTTTTAGCATTTACAAGTTACCTGTTTTTATATTTTTCAGAGAGTTATAGAAAGGAGAAAGTAAAGTCTCTGGTGTGGAGTCAGAATGAAACCAACTGAAGATCAAAGCGGTTTATATAGAGCTCAGTTTAATGAAGAGCACCTTGACGCTGTTCCTTGGCATCTAAAGATATACCTCCAGCTTGCCCTTTTCACTTCCCCACATTGCACAAGAAGTAAGGTTAACTTGCACTCAATTTAGGATGTAATTAGTATGCATGAAAGCGAATGGAATTACGCCCTCCCTCAATCACCCAATTGCATGATGCCTCTCTGCTTGTCTCAAGAATGCAGCTTTAAAAGAAAGCTTCCAAAAACTCTCCTAGAATAATTCATCCAATACTTGGTCAGGCCACCCTGCATCCTAGTGATACTTGAGACAGGTGAGAGGAGAGCAGCATTCTTCAACCATCATCTCAGAAACCAGCCCAGAAACAACTAAGAAACCGAAAGTAAAAGCAACTTGACTAAAAACTCACTTTCTTATTGATATAGTAGGGGTCCAGGTCCTCCAGGGGCTCTGAAACCATCTCTGGAGGAATGTCTCCATAAATAAATGGAAGGGATTTTCCCGCTTCCAAGTCACTGTTTGGCTTTGGGCCATCTTCATCACCCTCATCCTTGCGCTCCTGCTTGGGTCTCTTAGCTTTCTCTTCTGCAATGCGTTGTTCAATAGCAGCAAGGGATTCCCTGGTAAAGAAGCGGAAGCTGTCAGGTCCTGGCGGTACCAGCACTGATTGTGCCATCTTTTCATCCTGCTTCTTTATCACTGTTTAGCTCCTTGCATAAGAAAGTGCTACAGAAACAGGGGGTGGGGGGGGAGGAAAGAAAGCAATAACGATTAGGATAAGAAGTGACGGTAGGCATCACACGACACTGAACTCTGACATAAAGTATATAAGCAAAGACGGCACATAATTTACAAAGGAAGCTGTATTTAGCATCCAGGGAACCTCACGCATGCATTCATTTGCTCGCACACAGACTCTCTCTTGCACTTTCAGTAGGTGTCTATGAGGTAATCTGATTTCCCACTGCCAGGATGTTTTCAGTGACTATGCTACTTGGGGGGAAATACCCAGAATTTGGAAATGGAGGATACTGTTTTGTGCTTGCTGTTTCACTGTGTAACTATTTTGGCAGCCATCTTTTCAGCATTCTTTCTGGAAATATATCAGACCCAAACAGATTTTTTTAAAAAATCACAGAACTGTAGAAGAGGGGCTATGCGAGGCTCTTGCATGTCCCCCTCTGTTTGTTTTCTATGTTCCATTTGGCCCAAATTATCACCTTTATTCAAAATCATCACACCTGGTAAAGAGATCTGGAAATCCTGAAATGCCAAGCTGTGGAAACATAGGTAGATACTGCTTGAGAGCAAGAGGGTGGGGAGGAGCCAGAGATGCCTGATTGTGTTTGCAACTGCTCGGAAGCTGCACAGGAAGGGACCCAGCTCCTGCCAAATCAGGCAGGAAGTCACTCACGTCAGCGGTCTGCAGTTTGGCCCCCCTGGCTCAGCAACCTGCTGCTACCTAGTGTATTGCTTCTTAAATTAACAAATTTGTGATGCCTTAGGAAATTCTGTAGGGATAACCTATTTTATTTTTCAAATAGATCCCATCTCGAAAATCTAGCCCAGGAGTCCATGAATCCATTTCAGAATTTAAAGATGAAAAATATGTTTAAGATAGTTTTAAGCAAACTCCCCTAACATGGGTCTTTATGATAACATAAATGAAGACTTATTGGTATTCAAATTATATTTTACTAATGTAGATAACTCAGCAAAGCACACAAATCATTCCAAATGCAATCTCTGGACCAGGAATTCCTCTACTATTTGAACAATGCAATCAAAACCTTGACTCATGAATTTCATCTGTACAAAAATCACTTAACCTATTTTCTCCTCTTTTTGATATTAGTCCATTTAATCCCCACGTATATTTCCTACTGAAATGTATGACATGCATTTTGTAAGAGTAATATATGTTAATATCCAATTCATTCCTATACTACAGACCACATACAGCAGAGGACATTTGAACTAACATAAGCTACTGGATAGTTCCCACAGATTGTTTTTGAAGTTGTCCGGAATATTTCAGTCACCAAACTGCCCTCCCAGTATCACAGTATCTCCAAAACATCCCTCGCCCATCCCCAGAGACCCGCAGCGACACACAGGCATGAAGATGGTCCTTGCACACTCAGGGGAGGAGTCTGCCTGCATGGTCTGATAGAAGAGACACGCTCAAACACAGTCAGTAGCTTCAAAATGAAAGTGGTACCACTGCAGACTCCCCCAAGGATTCTACTGTAAGGTGGAGAAGCATCACAGAGAATAAGCGTAATAAGAATATTAAAACATTACCCCTGCTGAATCTTTTACACTCAGGGTTTGAGATTGACAAGCTGGAACCAAGAAGACTGCAGCTAAAATTCCATCATGCTTAATTTTTTTTTTAAATTCTCCTTTAAAGACCACACCTAACTTCCTGTAGAAGGATTCTGGTAACTGAAGTAAGATGCATCGTTTCCTGTGCAGGGACTACAAAGTGGCATTATTGTAACTGCCACTAGAGGGCTAGGGACAGCAGGGACAGCGCATACAGACAACTGTGAAGCAGCACGGAGCTTCCAGGCACAGAGCGAACCCTTAAGACTTTGCTGACTTAAATGATGAATTATTTTGTTAGCCAGTAATGTTTCTACTTAGGCATTTTATTTCTCTGCCCCAAAGGCACTCAAACAACACAAAAATTTAAATTAAAAGTAAAAAGAAAGCAAATGGGGAGGACTGAAAATAAAAATCCATATAGAACAGTAATTCACTTAGAATAGTACATACAGTCAGAATTCACAAGTGTCAGTCTTGGAGTATCTGAAAGCCAATAACATTATTTGCTAATTTTTAAAAAAATCAGCCTTTCTGTCATACAAATTAACTTTCTGTTGGAAAATAAAATCAACCAGTGACACATCAACATACTTTATCTCTGATCCAAGTCATTAAAAAGCAACCAGAATAAAATACCAATAGGCAAATGAGAACCTAAGAGCTTGTCACTGATTTACATCATAGCTAAGGCTTGACTGAGGACTCAGGAAGTGTCAGTCAGGAGGCTAAACAACTTTCTCCTAACTCTGTCAAGTAAATCCTTTCATCATATTTATTTGATACACTGAGATGAGGACATGTCCAATAAAATATTCAAGACTCAAACTCAATGTCTAAAATCAAGTATCTATGAACATTTTTTTAGTCATGGAAAAAAAACTTTGTGTATGAAACTAAAGACTAAAGATTAAATTAAAATGAAGCAGTACCACTCATTATAAGAAACAGTGCTATTAGACCCATATCTTTCTACATTTCTATCTTCATTTTAATATTATTTTCATTGGAAAATTAACTTGCTGGACATCAACAAAGGAAAGATTCAGCCAGAAAAATTATTTTATTCACTGTAGCAGGGACTCAAACCATTTGAGGAAAAAAGCAAAGGAAAATAAAAGAAGACAAAAGCCATCTATTAGTTTATAGCCTTTTGTCTAGGCTAGTTTACACAGAGGATGACTCCAGAGCTCCACTGATGTTTCTAGTTAAGTTGTATAATTTGGTTCTGCCTTCCATAGTAACGGACTGTTTTAGAGATTCTTGCTGTGGTATGATGCTGTAACTGATGCAGCTCTCCAACTTCCCAAATTTAAATCTAGTAGGGAGAAAGGCCCAGAAAAATTCCCATTGTCTCTCACTAGCTCCCGCTGGCTCACATGCTATCCTAGTGGAACCACTTGGTGCAGGATAAGGTTGAGCGCCAGCAGTCAACCCTTGGTCACAGGCTTACTATGGCAAGGGGAAAGCCTTCTTTTAAATGGGTGAGTGAGGGGCCGGGGAGATGGCTCAGTAGGCCTGGAAAGTGCAGGGTCCTGAGTTCAATCCCTGGTACCACAAAAGAAAAAACGAAGTGCAAGTTAAATGCATGAATGCCAGAGCTTCCTGAGCAGTGATACCAAAGTTCCTTGAAAGTGGAGTTGGGAACCATTACTGGAATCAGGGCAAGATTCACACTGCACCAAAACCCCAACCACGCGTGTGCTCCGGTTGTACATCAGTGACACTTTCAGTGTTTCAATATTCAGACAATGGAAATAACCTTTCATATTTATCACCTTATGAACAAGGAAACATTTGATAAATTCCTCCACCAAACTAAGTTATCCTACAATAATGAAATACACAAATGTCTATGGTAAACATTTATCCAACTGATATTCACACATACCTCTACAGATTTGCTTAGCAATAGATGAATTTTTTATTCAGAAGATTCTAACTCAAAAAGCAGATATCTTGAGAGAGAGATTGATGGTAATTATAACACATTGCATCTACTTTGTGTCAAGTAATATAAGAGCTTGAAGCCATTTAACCCTTTTAACAACATGAAATAGTAGCTACTGTGATCATTCTCAGTTAAAAGAATCAACAACTGAGATCTCGTCTTTTTGAAGTTTCTGAAAGACAAAAGAAGTCACCAACAAAGTAAAAAGAAAACCCATGAATTGGGGAAAAAAGTTAGACAACTGTCTCTCAGACAAAGGACTTCTATCTAGAACATATGAAGACTTTTTTAAAATTAGCCCCCCCAAATTCAAAGACCCACACAATCAAAAATCTAAATCAGAGATGAATATACAATTTTCAGATGAAAATATGCAAATGGCAAATAAACATATGAAAAACGTTCAACATCATTGCTCATTTAAGAAATGCAAATTGAAACAAAACTGAGATTCCATCTCAACACGGAAAGAATAGCTATCATCAAGAAGACAGAAAATAACAAATGCTGGAGAGGCTGTGGGGAAAAAAGGAACCCTTCTCTACTGTTGATGGGAGTGCAGGCTGGTACAACCTTTATGGAAATCAGTATGGAGATTCCTCAGAAAACTAGAATTAGAGGTCCCATTGAACCCAGTTATTCCCCTCCTGGGTATTTTCCCAAATGAACTGAAAACATCATATCATAGTGATATATGTGCACCAATATTTATAGCAGCACAATTGGTCCTAGCTAGACCTTGGAAACAACCCAAATGCCCATCAACTGAGGAATGGATAAAAAAGTTGTATATTTTTATACAATGCAGTACTACTTAGCTATAAAAAAAGATAAACTGGAAGTTTTTCTAAGTAAATGGATGCAACTAGACACCATACTCATAAGTGAAATAAATCAGACCCACATGTGTAAACAACGTATTGTCTCGCTAGTGTAAGAACCTGAGAGTAAATAAAATCTGAAAGGTACAATAGATACTATGAAAAGGAAAGAATCTGTTTAGAAAACTGGGATCAGGGAAAGGACAAAGGAAAGAAGGAAAGGAAAGAGATACATTTATGTACATATACAGGATAGCTTGAATAATTGTACTTCTGATTGCTGGTCTATTGAAAGGAGCAGTTGATGCTTAAATTATTTTCTTCTGTTTAGTTCCTTAAAATATTTTTAACTACATTTGTGTGCTTATATCAGGTAATCTAAACCACTAGCTTGAAGACAACATTATGCAATGTATCAATCATTGTTGAAATTCTATTATTTTGTTTAATGAAATTCTGTCATTTCTTTTTTCTTTTTCTTTTCTTTTTCTTTTTTTTTCATTTTCTACTAGGAATCAAACTCAGGACTTTGTGCATGCCAGGCAGGTACTTATGCCACTGAGCTATAGTGGTGGTTTTGTTTTGTTTTGTTCTATTTTTATTCTCTTTTGTTTTTCATTTTTTGTATTTTAGGGAAGGGTCTATAGGGTGCTCAGGGTCTCACTACTAGATTGGACTCATAGTGATCCGCCTATTTACAGCCTCACAAGAGCTGGGATTATAGGCACGTGTCACCATGCCCAGTCTCAATTGCTATCTCGGGTGCCCCAGGGGTGGGGTCAGCACAGAAGGCCCAGGGATTGAACTCCTGGCCCCTGTGCCTGCTTGCAGGCATTTGGATCCACTGAGCTATTTTGATGGTCCTATTTTTATTCCCTTGAAAAATTTTTAAAAAGAGCAAATTGAGATACCAATAAGACGATTAATCTGAAACATATATAAGTTCTTAAAGTACAAGTAAAGTATTAGAGTGAGAACTTATACCCATGCCTTCAATCCACAAAAGCCATGTTCTGGACTTCATAATATTTAAATATTTTTGTAGAACAATTCATTACCATAAATGTACCAATATATATATGCAACTTCTTTGATATTATATTAGTTATAGGTTTATCTCTTTCTATCCCATTGAAGCTAAGCAGTGATTATGCCTCAGAATATTTAAGAAGCTGAATAGACAATGTTTTACCAAAACATTCAAGATATCAAATTAACAACCTCTGAATAATTTTTCATCTCAAAAATAATTCTGTATAGTGTATATTTGAAATAAGAATTATAGTCTTTTTAAAATGGTTTCTCAGGATGAAATTTCAGAAATCAGGCATGAATTTATCTTCTTTGCTCTCACTTTTGTTAGGATTTTAGTCTTATTTTATGAGAATTCTATATTATAGATATTACCTGAAGATTTTTTAAGCATAAAATAATATTTTACTAGAATATGAACACAAACATAAAAGCAATGTAAACAGATATAAAATTTTGATGTGACACTATAAATGTGATTTTGATCATACCCAAAGGTACAATTTTATCCAAAGCACTCACAAGACACATCATAAGAAATCATTTCTGAAGATTTTGAACTATATTCACTGTATTGCTTTTCAGACAGATTATGTTGGACCTTTCAAGACAAGACATCTTCTTTGGAATGTATATGAATAACAGTAGAGGCAAACAAAATTACTTGAAGTAGTCAGAGGCAGAGACCTATTCAAAACTGGGTCTCTAATATTTATAATATCTCTTTCAATAACAGCTTTTATTCAGTTTTCTCACCTATAAAAAATGAACATTAATAATCTAAATTAAAATGCAAAAATAATCAATCCATTTTAAGCCACACATAATGGTATCTGAAAACAAAATATGTAGAGTTATACAAAGGGGCAGTAAAAAGTAAGGATGTGAGATAACAATTATTATAAAATTCTAATTTTGTGCCATAAAGACTGACATTTATGCAAGCACTTTAAAGATAAACCTATAGGTACTGAAAAAATAATTGGTTTGTCAAATCTTAAGAGATAAGTGTATAGCATGTAAAAATTTAAATTATGAGTAATGGTTGTACATAATTTTTTTACAAATGTACAGATTTTCTTATTCATGAGTGAAGAAAGATGAGAAAGACAGCTATGTTTTTTTCTGGAAATAACTATTTAATTTGGCGAAGAGAGGGAGGGAGAGGAGGATCATAAAAGAATATGGGTCTCTTTCTTGTGTGTGTTAACACAGAGCCTGCATTCTGGCACCCTTAGTTTTGGATTTC